CAGCGCTCGGGTGACCCGCCGGGGTCCCCAGCCCGCCGAGCCCGGCCGGCCTGAGATCTTTCTGTTTTCGCCACTAACCCTCTTGGGATCCGTCAGCCTCTGGGGCCAGCGGTTTTGTTTTGTTTGTTTGTTGTTTTCTGCTATTTTCTGGTCCTTATTTCTCCACAGCTGCTCTGGAGGGGGTGGCGAGAAAGGGAGCGGTGACAGTCGTAGGACTTATCGGCGTCACAGAAATTGCTCCAGCTGGTCTCCCATTCTCCGGGGTCTCATTGTCCTCCGCGTCTGCAGGATTCCAGTACTTGTCACTAGAGCCAGCAACACTCAGGTCGGCACACGGAGCCGCCGATGGCCCAGCTGAGAGGCAGGAGCCTGGCAAGACCCCAGGGCCATCCCCCCGCGTCCTGTGGGGATGGGCTGAAGTGACACAGCTCCAGGCTCTCCTGTTCGAAATACGAGCGAGAAGACTGTCACTGCCCCCTTAGAGTTATTATTCAATGGGGAAAAACAGACCACCACGTCCCAGTAAGACCTCGCCACCCGTGTAGCCTCGGGTGCACGGCACACGGTGGCCACAGGAATCAACGCGTGCAGCGGTCCCGGAGCCGGCCGGCCGGAGGACACCGGCGGAAGTTACACTTGGACTCTGATTGCTGCCTGGGACCAACTCTGGGCCCCGGACCCGGCCGGCTGCTGACCCTGATGGCCATGTGGCTATCTGTGCACGACGGAGCCTGGGGGACTTCCGCCCCGTGGAGCAGGTGCCTCTCGTCCCGCCCCAAACAGGAGTCCCGTCCACCAGCACTGCACGGTCCCCGACGCTCGCAGAGCCTTCGGCCACCGTGCCACCGGCCATCAGGGTGGCCGCAGACCCGCACACGGCACTCCTGAGGCAGCCGGCACGCGGACCGAAGAGGAAGCCCCTGAGTCCTCAACCCGATGACGACCCCTCACAGGTCCCACGACTTCCGCCGTTGCGGCTGTGACTCTGGACCCAGGCGCAGCTCATCCCAAATTTGTGCTGTGAAGTTCACGAAAAAGAAGCGAGCGAAGGCCGAGAAGGAACAGAACAGCCACGGTGACTGCGACAGACTCTGTGGCGAGGCCACCGCGCCCCGCCCTGCTCCCTGCCGCATGGAGGAGCCGCATGGAGGAGCTGCGGTTCCGCAGAGCTAGGTCCCGGAAGGGGAGCGGGTGGCAGCCAGCCTTCGGGAACGGCTCCCCAAGGTGGGAGGTGTAAGAAACCGCTGCGGTTCAGAATTGTCCTAGCAGGATGTTTGGTGCTTGGAGCCACAAGGACATCAGAAGCAGACGTGGACTTGCACACACCTTTTCTAGAGACTAGAAAAGGATACTTTAGAGGATAAGGAAAAGGCGGACTTGCACACACCCGCCCAATTCTGAGACTTCTTGCTCTAGGGACTAGAAAAGGATACTTTAGAGGATAAGGAAAAGGTACTTGAGAAGAAATAGCTGAGAACACGGGGGTGGCCTTGAGGCTGAATCTGGGAGGTGGCTGTAGCTTCTATCGACTCACCTGATAGTGACTATTCATAAATTAC